TAATTTGGTCGCGATCGATTGCTTTTTCTTCCTCGCAAAGATAAGCTTTGTCGAACAAGTCTAGTGGTCGCCGCGACTTCCGCATCGAAACCCCTGAAGAGCGTCTTCGTGGAACGCTTCGATGGAAGTGAGAATCTCTTGGAAATATTGTTTCCTTCGCGCGATTCCACCAGAACTTCTAGAGGCGAAGAGTAGAAGAAGGACCTAAAGCGTTGTTTCAACTGGTACGCTTCCTCGATCGAGGTCGTAGGCGTTTGGGAGGAATGGCTTGAAGGAGTGACCTCTTCGATAGCAGTAATATCGAGAATTGAAAAAGGGTCTTCTTCGATAGCAGCTCGATATTCTGGCACATTTCCTGGAGCAGGATCGCTTATCTCGAGCAATGATGCCGAGAGCAACTCGACGGATGGCATCGCAAAAGGAGGGGAATCTGATTGCTCTGCGAGAACTGATGAAGGGGAATCCTGGACTTGGACTACAAGGATATTTACTGGAGAGAAAATGATTCGAAGGAGTGAATCGAAAAATCTTAATAAAGAATGAAGTAGAATTAAGCAATGAAGGGAAAAAATTAAGTACCAGGGGGAAGTAGATCGAGGGGTGTTGAGGCAGGAGGTGAATGTTGTACATCCTCAGGTGGCTGTGAATCGAAACAAATATTAAAAAAGGAAATGTGTAAAAAAGCTAAAAATATATATACAAAATTTAGGAGTTGTACCTCAAGAATAAGTGTTGAAGAGGGAAGTAAAGAATCGACATTCGTCGATATCGTCATCGATGGATGGTCCTGAAAATATCGAGATTCGGAATCATGTTATGGGACTTGTCGAATTCTAGGAATATAAACTTTGCGTAAAAAGGGGACTTACGTGACTTGAATGAGTGGTGGATATTGTTTGGTCCGCCTTACTGACCGTGTTAGAGTCCGTCGATAAAGGATTTACAGCAGGTGGCTGAACAGATCAATGAATCTTCTTCGATTTTTTCTGAAAATAGAAGTGAATCAGCTATGGACAAAGAAAATAAAAATTGAATAAATAAGACAATGAAGAATAAAAAAGAAACCTTCGATTTCTTCGAAGATGAAGAAATGGTGGCAGAATGTTTGCGCTTTTGAGTGGGGGTCGATGGGTCTGACTCGTCCGAAGACTCCCAATCCTTCTCCGAGGCGACGAACTTGTGAGGTTTCGAAACTGTCGAAAAAGGAAAAATAGTTAGCTTGCAATTTGAAAGAAGATTAAAAACATTCTTAAAAGAGGCAATAAAAATCTCACCAAAGGGTGATGGAGTTAAAATCTTGACTCGATCGATATGAACAAGCCAGGGAGGAAGAAGATTTTGAGGGAGGTTTAGGTAAGGGAAATAAGATAGTTTCGATATCGAGATTTCTTTGTTTTTGGGTTTTGGATAAAGAGTTTCTTTCAAGGATCTTAACTCTCGAACCCATTTAGGATGAGTTAAAGGTTTGGCAAGTCCAAAAGGAGCTGAAGGGAAAGTGGGAAAATGGTTGAGACAATACATTTCAAATGGGGTTCTACCTCGAGGATTGATTATTTTGTGGTTTGATTGGTTAGTGTATGTTTTATTGACTAAGGAAATAACAGCATCATAGAAGGTCGATTCTAATTTCGAGGGATTGTAGCATGCTCGATAAAAATTTTCGAATCGAGATATTTGGATATAGTGAGAGTATGTACCTTTCTTCGCCTTCGATTTGTCCTGCAACACGAGAGAAGGATGAACAGTCAATTTTGATTGGACTATGTCAAAATCAGAATGAACATTTGAAAATCAATCGGTCCACCACTGAGAGAAACCAAGAGTAGATAAATAATTCGATTAAAAAATATAAGGGTAAAAGTGCATCGGGTTTTTTGGCAACAGTTTGGCAAGCTCCCGTCCAACAGTCGATTCACTTAATTTGGACCTTGAGGAGGTTTCGAAGGGAAAAAAGGGTAAAGCTTGATTCAAACCAAACTGTCGCGAGAAAAGTTGGGGATAATAAATGACAAGTCGAAGATCCTTCGATTGGAAACCCGATACCAAAACATCTTGGGCTAGGTAATTATTCCATACTTCAACCAATTCTGATTGCAGTCCCGGAGTAAGAGCAGGAAATTTCGATCTAAACCATGTTGGCCCTCGAAGTTTGTCACTTATTTGTCCAAGATACACAGTGAAAGGGGCCAAACTCGAATCAAAATGAAAGCGGGTCAACAAAAATTGTAGGTAATTTCGGTAACTAGCCTCGTCGGATTTGTAGTGGGGATGTCGAGAAGATAATCGAGCACCATCTAAATTCAAACTTGGGGGGATTTTTGAGGTTGGGGGGATGATACTTTCAAAAATCGAGGTGAGCCATAATTGAATAAACCAAATAGGACCTGAAAAATTCCCTGAGGCTCTTGGGGTATTCAAAATATCGACGGTCTCATCAAAAGCAGTATAGACATGGGCTAATAAAAGTTTTGCCAAACAAATCCTAGGTTGGCCAGTGTGAAGGAGATAGGCAAGGTTATAGAGGTGGGATGAAATTTGGATGGATCGGGGGCAGAAGATGTGAGTGCATAACCAATATACCAGGAAGACTATATGTTCCTCATCAGTTACAGCCACTGATTGATCATCGACGAAGTGCTTTTCTAGAAAATGCCCATAGGCCTTTGATTCCCAATCGATTTTCGACCTTAAGAGTTATCCGAAGGGAAAGCCCCCTTATAGTATTTCTCCCCCCATGGGCTTTAATCCAGTAATAGCAGCAATTTCGAAAAAGGTGGGTGAAAAGGGGCCACATGGAAGTTCCAATGCATGTAAGTCCTTATTCCATAAATGAACAACGGATAAAAACATGGACATATCCAAAAAAGATAGATCACACTGAGACAAATGCAGGAAATCAAAAATCCCTACAGCCCTCCAATGGTTCCCAAATTTAGCTTTAACTCGATCAAACCATCTAATGTACAAGGGTTTTTTGTGAGGAGGGCTCGTTCGATATACTTTAGACACGATTTGCAGAAAATCTATTCGAACCTCAGGTTGATGGATAAGAACCTTACTCTCTGAAGGAAGGCTAAGAGAAGAAGAAAACGAGCCGCCACAATAGCGGATAGGACCACCAAATGCATAAGTTACATTATCAGCGACGTAAGGGATGAGTACCTGAGTCTCAGCAATCCGTTGTGAGGCTTCTTCCATCAAAGGGACCGGCGCAAACTTCTTCCCATTGATTTCTATTAGGTTGGAGGGCACTGAGGAAAGTGGGGGGGGGGCGGAGAAATCAGAGGATTTGGAGGTTGCCATTACAGCAGGTAGAGAAGGGAAGACGTAAGGTTGAAGAAAGGTTGAAGATGAGGAAGTGCAACGAAGGAGAATTGAGATTCATGGTAAAAAACAAGGGTAAAAGCTGATAAAAGGATTTTAAGAGGCCGAGTTAGGGTATTTGAAACGACGGATGTGAAGAGGGTAATTAATGTGGCGTGTGCAGTATGACAAAAGAAAGGAGGCGATTTGATGGGTGACATAAAGCAGAAAAAACCCTACAACCCTAGAAGTTATTTTGGGCCTCCAAGATGGTTGAAGGCGAGAAGCATTTTGAAAGAATATAAAATAAAATTTATATTCTTCCAAGGGGGCATTTGTTAGTAAAAGAAAAATCGATACCAAGATCGAAAGAACCAGAGAGAGAAAATCGAAAATCATATAGTTGGTTAAAAAATTGATAAGACTGGTAAAAGACACCTGGTGACCACAAAGATAAAAACACATCGAGAATCAAAATCGAGAATTGAAGAAACAAATTTCGATGTCTATTGTTAAAGAGAATCGAGAAATTAGAATAGTGCAAAGTTAAGATTAAAGGGAATCAAAAGCAATTCAAAGTACTCGATGTCTGAAATCGAGATCGAGGGAACGGTTAACATGCACATAGAACATGGGAAACAGTTTCTAAACTAAGGCTGACGAAGATCAAAGAGGCAGTTATCTCTTGCATGAGAACATGGGATGTAGTTTTTAAACCGTAACACTAAGAGACGTGCATGGTGGGTCGTGGTGGCAGTTTTGTTAACTGCTCTTAGGAGGTTATCTGAAGGGCGCTCTATAAATAGAGCAAAACTTGAGGAAGAACGGGAAATTGGCAGAGACAACAGAGGCGCAAGTGAACAGTCTACAGGAGAACGACGCATCATGAAGTTTCTAATGCTCTGGATTTCCATTTTCATTGACTGCTTTTATCGCTTTCTTTACTTTCCCTGGTAATTTACTTTCATGCAACTTACGTTTATCAACTTTAAGTTTATGTCCTTTCAATTCCTAGTTCCTTTACTTTTACGCAAGTTAATGTTATACGTTTAAGTTCCTCGTCACTTATACTTCTGCAAATTTCGATTTCCTGCTTATTTACAATTCTGCAATTTTTGATTCCTTGTCATTTACACTTAATGCAAATTTGAGGTTTCCGCATTTTATGTTTCTCTGCAATTTAATATTCTGCACCGCTTTTCGATTCAACAATTTTTACTACTTTCTTTACTTCGCGTTTCTTAATAAAAAATACCAAAAGTAGTACTTTCGATTTTCACTTTAAGTAATGTTGTTTGCATTCATGAGATTTTCGATTCTCATGCATTTTTCGATTGAAAACCATTTGCTAGCCTAAATAAAAAGAATCTACATGGTTGAAATTTGGTTAGAACCTAAGTCTTTGAGAAATTGAAATCGATCAAATTTTCACCAGAAACACTATGATAGAAGAATACAACGATCAAGACAACTTAATTAAGGAGTGTTCTTGTGAACAGAAAAATAAATCAAGTAAGTTTGGATGAAACTTACTTGAATTAAGGCGTAACTCGATGTTAGTTTGAAACTATTTTCATTTAATCATAAATTTTGAGTTTGATTATAAAGAATGTAGTTAGAAATAAAATTTTCTTATTTATCTCATATAAAATTGTCTCCCATTTAATATTTTATGCCATAAATATTTACTAACTTTATTGATAATTATCTTTTATTGGAGCATTTGATTGTGTATAGTAAAATTCCCTTAAAAACAAATTATCACAAAGCTCAAATATACAATTATATTTTCAAGTCAAATGAAATTTTAAAAAGTGCATAATAATTCCATTTGAAACTTTATATTTATAATTTTGCTTGACTCATTTTCAATTGTGTATAGTCTTATTCATCCTTACTTTTTTCTTTTTCAACAAATTATACTTAACACGTAATTTCTGGTGATTGTCATCATATATTTGTGTTTTTTTTAATTCTTTTAATAACTCTATTAAATATATATACCGATATCGTGTCCTAGCTAGTTATAAAGATTACATTAACAACTATATCATATGTAATATTAAGAAACTACAAGAGATTAATTATTGTAATTTACTTTTTTTTAATAAATAGTAGTAAAAGAGATATTTTTGTTTTATTTTGAATATTTTTACTTTTTATATATTATGAAAAACTAAATGGTCTCCATTTATAGTGTGGTGGGGGAATAAGATAAGAAAAAAAGGAAAGAAAAATTAACAGAGATACGATGGAAGAGACAGAATAAACCCAATTTATGAATGCGTATTGCTGAAGAAGTGAGAATCCAAACTGCAATACCCAACTCTGTTGCAGGATTCTCTCCATGTGCAACACAATCTCACTGATAAGAGGAGTATCTCAACTCTGACAAAATACCCTCTTTCTGCCTCAAATTTAAGATTCACCACTCGACCATGTTCCTTCACCGTAACGACATTTTTATCGTTGATTAGCATGTTTCAAAATATTGACGTGAAAAATTTATCTATTAACTTCTACAAATCAGGGAATGAAATGAAAAATTGAAACCAAACAAACACGCTAGATGTCAATTTTCATGTCTTGGAGATAACTGGTCGTGACCTTTCCCTGAAACAAGAACGAACCTTTGACCGGTAATCTTCTCTATGCTAGAGACGATGGATGAGTCTCTCTCAGAAGCCAGATCTCGCTCACGTGCTTTCATAAGCGCTTCTCTGTCGTGAATTTCCGCTTCTCGACGCCTCCAACCCTCTTCCCATTCCACTCTTTCTTTCTCCATTCGCTCAATCGCCGCCACCAATTTGTTCTGCAGGACCTCCTGCTGTTTAACCACACGTTTCACCAACCTCTTGAAAAACGAAACCATCTTTTCTTCCACTCTCTTCTTTCTCATCCTTTTCTTACCCCTCGTCGCTCGCCCACCCTCAACCTCAACTGTTTCCGTCGCTACCCTTTGCCACGCATTCCTCGCTGCACGTGGTGTGTCTTCGTTATGACCCTTTTTGTACACATCTTCAAGCTCCCCGAAGTTTTCATTCTTCCCCTTTGCATCAGAGAGCACTGTGTTGAATGCTTTCCTGCAACACCAACACAACGCGGAATGGTAATGGAGAAAACAGAATTACAAGGTGAGTATAACAATAAAAGCGAATTATACCAAAAAGACACTGTGGTTGTGGATTCTTCCTCGGGGTGGACTCCCAGATGTTGGGGTTGTTGTTGGAAGAAATGGTGAAAATGTTGGTTGTGTTGAAAGTGTGGATAGTAGCAGTGTTGAAGATGATGGAATTGGTGAGGAGTGTGGTTAGGGCTTAAAGTGGATGAGGAAGAAGCGTGAAGGGTGAGTTGGTGATAAAGGGTGTTGGCCATTTGGTGGTGAGTGTGGTGAGGTTGCATGAACAAAGCACACTATTTGACAGAAGAAGAAAATAAACATATCTAATGTACGCCAGTTTTTTTTTTCTGTCATATATAGGATTTCTCCACAGTTAGATATAAATAATATTCTCCACAACTTCCAATAATACACATTTAGTTTATAGGATAGAAATTGAGTTTGATTTTCAAATAATACTTCTTCCATAAAGGATGAACGGTTTTAAATATAATATATACTGTGAATAAATATAATTTCATAACTTTATAATACTCAAATTAAATAAAACATGTGGAGTAATAAGTATATAAAAAATAAAACTCATTAACAATAGTAAGTTTATAACAAATTAAAAATATATATAATATAAATATAAATTTGAATTTATTTAAATTATATCTGTTGTAAATAAATTAATAAAATTAATAATAATTGATAATTTTAATAAACACATTTGGACTGATTTTGATCGATTCCCAACTATTCTTCTAAGTTCTTAAATCATCCAAATTTTTAAATATTTGATAATTATCACACAAATACTCAAAAAAATCAATCGATCCAACCCTAAGAATAATATAATTTTTACTCGTTATTATTATATGCACGTTCGTGTGTCCAGGATGGACATTCGCATGTCAAAATGAATTTAGAGTTTTTTTTTTCGTACTTAGAAAAAGCAAAAAAATACAATAAGTGATATTTGTTTTCTACATGTAATACATAATATATATATATATATATATATATATATATATATATATATATATATATATAATGGGAACAAAATAAAGGTAAAAATAAGAATTATATATAATATCAAAGTGTGAGTATAAACCTTTTTACCAGAGCTGCTATGAACAATATGATAAGTTTGACAATTGTGAAGCAGAGAAATTTTTTAAAATAATAATGTCAAAATTCTCAATTTTTTAATTGTCATAAAATTTTATTGTTACAAAATTTAGAAAATTTACGTGAAAGAATTCTACAACTTAATTTCTATTATTTTCTTTCGTAAAAATGAAAAATACCCAATTTATTGCGTTTTATTATCATTACTTTCAATATATTATTACAAGAAAACAATTTTGACACGACGTGTTATTTTTCAGCATAAAATTTATTGAAGTTTTTGTTTTATCCAAAAAACTATATTGCTTGGTACTTGTCCGAAGGTATAAGACACGATTATTCTGTTAAATTATTTTTTAGTATTAAAATAGAAAATGTATAAATAAGAATATTAGAAATTATTTTAATACTATTGTATTGATTTAATTTTAAAGAGTGTGTGATAATGACGATGGGAAAGGGGTGATTTAATAGAGTGTGAGTGAAAGAAGAAGACAATGTTTTGGAAGTACAGAATGAATGTGGTGTATGCACATGAATCACGTCCTTCTCTTGTCTCCGCCATTAATTTGGGGTCTGCACCATCTAACGGTCAGAAGAAGGAGGTGGGTTTTGTTAGAGAGTGGTTGGGTTGAGAGTGATGGGTGGTGAGAAAGGAGGGGCGCGGGAAGAGGAGGGGCTGGGGGGCCACCCCACCTGACACCTGCATCCTGTCCTTCGCTGGCTAGATCCATGTAAAGTCATCCTCTGCTTCCTGTTTCTGCAATAAACTTCTCTGTTTCACAACTAATTGTTTTTAGCATCACGCAAATTTTAAGTGTTATTCCATCATTTCTAAATAACAAACACCTTTCATTTAATATTTTATATTAAACCTTTACGTCAGAATCTTCCTGTTCTTCATATGTTATCTACAAAACTCTGCTATCATCTTCCCTTAGCTACTTTTCCAAGTTATGATTAGGTTGGTGAATAACAGTTGGTGCAAACCCTAGAGAATTGACATGTTATTAAGGCAACACAAGTTTTTTACTGGGGACATCTCAGACATGAAAAACTCTGCCCAACAAACATTGTCAAAAGTGATATCCCTCAACCACCCTATCACCCCTCCACTCATCCCTTTCATTCACAAAATGGTTCACCAACATGGTTACTAGTTTATGTTCTGACAATATTGGTTATTCCAAACTACCATTTCAATCAGTAAAAAAAAATAAAAAATAAATCCATGGATATAATCCTGTTAACTTTTGTAGTAATTATTCTAAAAATCATTGTCTAATATCATCACACTTTAATTTAATATCTTCAACCAAAATTCTCCACATTAAAATTACATTTCTACCTACTGTCTCAAGTTGAATGTTCCTTTCTTCTTCTCATGAGTTATCTGACACGTTTAAATATGAATTTATTATCCAACGCTCTTTGTACCCACGCTCTAACCGCTAGATTGTAAAAAATTAATAAAAGCTTACTAAAAGTATCTTCCCGGGTTGCTTCTGTTTGTGGCCCAATAGAAAAAAAATAATGAATGGGCCCCCGGACTTGAAGTCCAGACAAAAAAAATGCAAATTAGGTCTCCAATGAGATTTTAATACTGATGAAAACTAGGTGCATGATTCGATCATATCGAAACATTTTTTTTATTTCAACGGTTAGGTATTAGTTTGATAATTTTTATATAGTAAATAATTTTGCAAAAAATTAAATATATTATTTGTATTTTAAATATTTTACATATAAAGTCGAATTAAAAAGATTTGTAAAAAAGATCGTAGAAAAATCAACTTTTCTTGTTGTTATCTATTTTATAATCTAACCACAATTGTATTGTACCAGATATAAAATTATGTATACGTCAACGATACTTGTACAAGATATAATTATTTGTGCTTAATTATTTGGGAGATTAGTACTTAGGGCTTTAAAATATTTAATTGCACACGTAATTGCTTAGGTAACCATCTTTTCATTAACTAATTGGGAGAATAATTTATTCTCCCTTTTAAAATTGTTGATATGTAAAACTAATATAGACATATTATTGAAGAAAACTTAATAAGTATAAAATATTGATATATCCACTTTAAACTATTTTTATTTACCTTAAGATAATAATGATCAACTTTAAATATTTTAAATGATTCATATAAGCGTTTTTGTGTTTTTAATATAAAAAAGACTTAAAAAACAAAAATGATCAATAATGTTAACAGCAGACTCTTTCACCAAAATATATAAATTTTTGGACACCTTTTGTAACGTCTTGTTTGGCCCATTCACCTAAACAGCAGATTCTTTCACCCATGGTTTATTAATCCTCAATATCATCATTACTCTCTTCATAGAAATACTCCTACTATTTCCTCCATACTAGTTCAGAAACATGGAAAATGATAGCATATTCAAAACTATGGCATCGTGTTTTGCCTTGCTACTTTTGTATGTGATGATTAGATTTGTGAATATCATATGGTGGAGACCCAGAAATACTGAGAAAATATTGAGTAAGCAAGGGATTAGAGGATCTTCATACAAGCTTTTTACTGGAGACACTTCAGACATGAAAGACTCTGTCCAAAAGGCATTATCAAAAGCCACCTCCCTCAACCATCAAATCATCCCTCGAGTCATCCCTTTCCTGCACAAAATGGTTCAGCAACATGGTAAATTACTTTTCTTATGATAACTACATTGAATAAATATTTCTAGCATGTTTCTTTCACCCATTGACAATTTGTGTATGAATTATTTTGCGCAGATTTGGTTTTTATAGTGATGTTATATGTATGTGTAGGAAATATTTCATTGTGTTGGTTTGGAAGAAGACCAAGACTCATAATAGCAGATGCAGAGCTTACACGATTGGTTTTAACAAATAAGAATGGGCACTTTGTGAAACCACCACGAAACCCCCTCATCAAACTTCTATCTTTAGGATTGTCTTCATTGGAAGGCGAAACTTGGACCAAACGCAGAAGAGTAGTAACATCAGCTTTCCACCTTGAGAAGTTGAAGGTAACTTCTTATATGATAAAGCACCTTTTTTTCTGAAGTCTTTCAAGGTTTTCTACTGATATTCAACCTTTGATTCAACTCTTACTCATTAACTTTTATATCTTGAAATTGTTATTCAATGAGTATGAGTAACTATAGAAGTGTATTAATATATAGGCAATGGTGCCAGCATTTTCAAGCAGCTGTTACAACATGATCGAGCGATGGGAAAAATCAGTAGAAACTGAAGGATGGTGTGAATTGGATGTTTGTTCAGAATTCAACATTCTTACTGGTGATGTAATAGCTCGAACTGCCTTTGGAAGTAGCTACCAAGAAGGAAAGAAAATTTTTGAACTGCAAAAGGAACAAGCTATCTTGGTCAACGAAGCCTTAAACAGCCTCTATATCCCAGGTTTCAGGTACAATGCATAATTATAATATGCAAACTTAAGAACTCATCAAGAATAAGACCTGGACAACTTTATGTCATAAATCTTAAACTTAAAAACTCTTTTTTATCTTAAAAAAATATAAAATAAAGATTTATAATATTAATTTTATTTTATTATTTTTTCTAATAATTTTCTTTTTAAATATTTGTTCTCTTATTCTCTATTTATTTATTTATTTTATAAATGATTTGATAAAATAATTATAAAAAAATTATATAACTGATCATGTCATATTGAATTCTTTTAATAAAAAATTATTTTAAACAACTAATATTTTATTTAAACATCTTGATAAATCATTTTTATATTATATTTTTTTAATTATGTTTTTAGTTTTTTGGATTCAATGTAGTCTACTTCATCAATTTTTTTAAAAAAATATTTTAATTTATAAATAGTAAATTTATAAAATAAAAATGATTTTATAATGGGAGGCTATTATTAGTTTTATTCCAAAAATTATGAATATATATATATATATATATATATATAGAAGTATCTTTTTTATTAGGCTTTAAAACCAAACACTCACTTATAACGAAGTTGAATTGACTTTTACTTCATTTGAAATAGTTTTTCATATGTTTATAAAATTAATAAAATAATATGTTTTATACTCTTATTTTCTGTTTCACATAAACTACGGACAAAAATAATGTAGTTGTTCGTGATTTCATTATTTTCACTCTCCTTAGCAAGGAAAATATTTTTAACTGTTTACAAATATTTGATAGAAAATCTTAAATCTTTTTATAGACAATTTTTAATTTTTTTTATTAATAAAAAATTAATAAAATAAAATAGACAAATAATAATATAAAAATTAGTTGTTAAATAAATATTTTTATCCTTTTATGATGGGAAAATATCATCACTCTTGTTAATATTTTTCTTCTCATTTCACATAAGTATAATTTTCTATCTTTCATTTCATTTTTTTAATTTTGTATCTTTAATATTTTAATCGACGATTTCTTTTATCTATCATTTTAAATTAAAAATAAATAAAAAAGTATTGAGTTGTTGAAAAAAGTCATATAATATCTTAAATTATTCATTCTATATTCAAATAGTCAGTGAAAGATTATTGAAACTATTTAGAACATGAGCATGAGAGGATGAGAATTGTATGGAAAAATATTGAAGAATCATAATTTTTCATTTTTTGACCTATTTCAAACTCCAAGTGTGATTTATCTTTCTTCTTCTCAAACTATAAAGCTTATGGTATCACCATTCTTCCTTCATAGTCTATCTTTTAACTTCAAAAAGATGTTTGGAAATTTCTACACATACTTCACCTTATATGATTGTATTGTGACCCTAGATTCTTACCAACAACAAAGAACAAGCGTAGGTACAACCTAGATATCCAAATCAAAACTATATTGCGAGACATTATTCAGAAGAAAGAGCGAGCAATGAAAGAAGGTGAAGTAAAAGAACATGATTTACTAAGCATACTACTACAGTGTAGAGAACAGAGTAATTCTTTAACAACAGATGATGTGATTGAGGAATGCAAGTTGTTTTACTTTGCTGGCCAAGTGACCACAGCCAACCTACTTGCATGGACTATGATTGTTTTATCTATGCATCTTGATTGGCAAGAAAAGGCAAGAACAGAGGTGTTGGAGATTTTTGACAAAACAACACTTGATTATGAAGGCATAAACCACCTCAAGATAGTAAGCTTGATTACACAATCACCTCAACATAGTTTAACGATAAAATTGATGGTTTATTTCTAATCATTAGTTTGAACAAAAAAATTGATCCTCAAATGTTTGACAATATGCATGCAGGTGTCAATGATATTGTATGAAGTTCTGAGATTATATCCTCCCATAACAGTGCTTAGCAAATACAATTGGTGTGAAACAAGGGTGGGAAACTTGTCCATACCAGCAGGGGTTGAATTTTGTTTACCTCTGTTACTTGTTCATAATGATAGCAACTATTGGGATAAGCCAGAAGAGTTCAACCCAGAAAGATTTAATGAAGGGGTTTCAAAAGCTTCAAAGGATCACATTGCTTTCTATCCTTTTGGTTGGGGCCCAAAAACTTGTCCTGGCCAAAACTTTGCCTTCTTAGAAGCAAAGATGGCTCTGGCTTTGATTCTTCAGCACTTCTCTTTCCAACTCTCACCCACTTATTCTCATGCTCCAACTACTTGTATTACTCTTAAGCCACAACATGGAGCTCCCATTATTATTCGTCGCATTAAGTCTTCTAAATTAAGTTAGTTTTTTGAGAGATATTACTTGTTCAATAACATTTCTTTACTTTTGTTTCTCGTTAAGATCATCGGATATTCAGTATCTTTGTACCCTCCATCTAAAACTCTAAATAAATAATAATAATTTATGCTAAAGCTACTAGCACATTCATACCATTATTTTTTGTCTTCACCATATTCAGTGCTTTTAACAAAGTTTGGTTTTGGTCATGAATCTGTATCTTTTTTTTGTAGTGAACTTGGGGCCTGAATATTGGACTACGTTGGGTGGGAACTCAAGCCTTAAATGGAACAAAATTATCCAAATTCATCTTAATTTATTATCATTATAATTTATTTTCTTCCTTTTCTAGAATTATAAATGACGTAAAACGATTAGTTTCCAACTGAACACATAACACAAATGAAAAATTAAACAGCAGGTGAGGTCAATGTTAATGTTTAAACTGTTGTATTACTATTTTATATATATATATATATATATATATATATATATATATATATATATATACAATTTTCATCACCCAGTCACTTATACTGGAGTGTAGTTTTTCACAAAAATAAAAATCTGCTGGAATGTTTACTTTATTAAAAAGCTTTATACAATTATGTATAAAACTTTTTTTATATGAAATGTCCCTAAAATAAAAATATGAAAATTATATTAAGTATATGGTGTGCATGGGTGGTGTTGAATAAAAGAATGTTGAAGAACTTAAAATCAAGTTTGCCAGATATGTTAGAGAACTAAAATCGAGTTTCCTAGAAAAAGAAAATGGTAAAATATAAATATTTTTCTTCATATTGGGAATTTCAACGACATCTTCTTAATATTTATTCCATTTTATTTCGTTAACATCACAGAAAAAAAAATGTACTTTTATACTGTTGGTGTTTGAAAAGTAAAAAAAAGGTGGCAAGTGGTTGGTTGGCAAGTGGTTCGATGATAAGTGGTTGGAGACAAGAAAAATTGGAAAACCTTAAATGCACAAGAACCATTCATTTTGCTATAAAATGTTCTTTTACTTCACTCATTTCCATCATCCAATTCCAAAAGAACCATTACAAGAGTTAGCCAGCAAGAAGCAGAAAGAAATAATCTAGCTTCTGGGTGTAATTGGGTTGAGGGTTGAGTGTTTTGAGAGTGCTTTGTAAACACCTGTGTATTTTCTTTTCTTCCAGTAAAATATTTGCAGTAGTCCGGAGACGTAAGCAATTTTGGCCGAACTCCGTTATCAATTGGTGTGTCCAATTATTTCGTCTTTATTTCGTTTTTATTTCACTTTCATAGATCTGACTACATGGAAAAGTTCTGTGTATTTTTCCTAACAACTGGTATCAGAGCTGGTTGTTAACTCTGCAATTTTATGGTGACACTATTCATATGAATAGTGAATTTACTATTTTGTGAATAGTCAAAATTTTGTCGGTGCTACAAAATTATCTACAGACGTGTTCCGAAACACGGTAGTTCACAGAAATTGTCAGAAACGATCCAGAAAAGTCAGATCCGAGTTGGAGTGATGGTCGAGATGAAGGAAAGGTGAAAATCGAGAAGTTCGATGGTGCGGACTTTGGGTTCTGGAAGATGCAGATCGAGGATTACCTGTATCAGAAGGATATGTTCGAACCACTCACAGGAAAGAAACCAGAGGGTATGAAAGAGGAGGAATGGACTCTTCTCGACAGAAAGGCCCTTGGAGCCATTCGACTGACGTTATCCCGTAATGTTACTTTTAACATTGCAAAAGAAAAGACGACAGCAGGTCTTATGGATACTCTTTCCAGTATGTACGAGAAACCATCAGCCTCAAACAAAGTTCATTTGATGAGGCGGTTTTCAATCTACGGATGTCTGAAGGCGCTTCAACGGCGCAACATATCAATGAACTCAATACTGTTACAACTCAGTTGAGTTCAATTGGGATCGAGTTCGATGATGAAGTACGAGCTTTGATACTTTTGTCTTCTCTACCAGAAAGTTGGAATGCTACTGTCACAGTTGTGAGTAGCTCATCGGGAAGCAATAAGTTAAAATTTGATGATATTCGTAATTTGGTTCTCAGTGAAGAGATCCGGCGGAGGGAGTCGGGTGAATCATCAACCTCTTCAGTATTGCATACAGAATCAAGAGGAAGAAGTTCAACCAAAGAAAGCGGAAGCGGAAAATAAAAGGGCAAACGATTCAAGTCCAGAAATCATCATAGTTCCCAAAACTCGAAGCAAATCGAGTGTTGGAATTGTGGGAAGACCGAACATTACAATAATCAGTGCAAGAATGCACGAAAGAATCAAGAAGCGAAGGACGAGGCAAACGTTGCCTCTACCTCAGGGAAAGATGATGTGTTGATATGCTCTTTAGAAAGCAAGGAGGAGTCTTGGGTGTTAGACTCTGGAGCATCATTCCATGCTACCTCACAAAAGCAACTGTTCGAGAATTATGTTCCCGAAAATCTTGGTAAAGTTTACCTTGGTAATGAGCAATCGTGTGAGATTGTAGGTAAAGGTACAGTAAAGATTAAGTTGAACGGGTCTGTATGGGAATTGAAAAATATCAGACATATTCCCGACCTGACGAAGAACTTAATCTCAGTGAGTCAGTTAGCCAGTAAAGGTTACACAACAATCTTCCACGGTGATGATTGGAAGATCTCAAAGGGTGCAATGACAATTGCTCGAGGTAAAAAGAGTGGTACTCTTTACAAGACTGCAGGAGCATGTCATTTGATTGCAGTTGCAACAAATGAAAATCCCAATCTATGGCACTAAAGACTTGGGCATATGAGTGAGAAAGGGATGAAGATCATGCACTCAAAAGGAAAACTACCAGGTCTTCGATCAGCAAAAATTGACATGTGTGAAGACTGCATACTTGGAAAGCGAGAGAGAGTTAGCTTTCGGACAAATAGAAGAATTCCAAAGAAAGAGAAACTTGAGCTTGTCCACTCGATGTTTGGGGTCCAACGACTGTCCCATCCGTTGGTGGGAAGCAATACTTCGTGACGTTTATCGATGATCACTCCGGAAAGGTATGGGTTTACTTTCCGAAACACAAGTCGAAGTATTTGAAGCTTTCAAGATTTGGAAAGCTATGGTAGAAAATGAAACAGGATTGAAGATTAAGAAGCTCATATCCGACAATGGTGGTGAATATGTAGACACCAGATTCAAGAAGTTTTGCTATGAGCACGGAATCAGAATGGAAAGGACCGTGCACAGTACGCCTCAACACAATGGTGTAGGCGAGCGTATGAACCGAACGTTGACTGAAAGAGCCGGAAGCTTGCGTGTACAGTCGAGCTTACCAAAGCGGTTAACACGAAGACTTACTTGATCAACCGAAGTCCATCGGTACCATTGGAGCACGGAATACCGGAAGAGGTATGGAGCGAGAAAAGAGGTAAAACTCTCACATCTTAGAGTTTTCGGTTGTGTAGCATATGTCCATATCAGTGATCAAGGTAGAAACAAACTTGATCCAAAATCAAAGAAGTGCACTTTCATTGGTTATGGTGAAGATGAGTATGGCTACCGCATATGGGATGATGAAAACAAAAAGATGATCCGCAGTAGAGATGTAATCTTCAATGAAAGAGTGTTGTACAAGGACATGCATAAAACATGTATTAGCAATTCAGAATCGAGTGGGCCCGTTTTTGCAGAAGTGAAAGATGTCCTAGAAAATCCTATAGTGAGAAGTCCTCAATCAGAGGAATCAATTGAAGAAGGTGATGTGCAACCAGAACCTCTTACTCCAACTCCTGTATTGAGAAGGTCATTTAGACCTCATGTGCCAAACAGGAGATACATGGACTACATGTTGTTGACTGATGGAGGGGAGCCCGAAGATTATATAGAAGCTTGTCAAATCACAGATGCTAGCAAGTGGGAATTTACCATGAAAGAAGAGATGAAGTCTCTGATCTCCAATCAAACATGGGAACTAGTCAAGTTACCCATGGGGAAGAAAGCACTTCACAACAAATGGGTGTATCGGGTGAAGGAAGACCATGATGGTTCCAAGAGATACAAAGTCCGACTAGTTGTCAAAGGATTTCAGCAGAAAGAAGGAGTTGACTACACTGAAATCTTTGCTCCAGTCGTAAAGCTCAATACTATCAGAACAGTGTTAAGTATTGTGGCTAGTGAAGAGCTCTACCTAGAGCAATTAGATGTGAAGACCGCATTTCTCCACGGAGACTTAGATGAGGAGATCTACATGCACCAACCCGAAGGATTTTCGAAGGAAAGAAGGATATGGTGTGCAAATTGAAGAAGAGCTTGTACGGTCGAAACAAGCTCCAAGACAAGTGGTACGAGGAAGTTTGAAAGCTTCATGCACAAGGAAGATTTCCGAAGTGCAATGTCGATCACTGTTGTTTCTTCAAGAGGTATAAGTCCAGTTATATCATATTGCTACTTTATGTTGATGACATGTTAGTAGAGCAGGTTCAAATATGAGGGATATCAGAAATTTAAAGATGCAGTTGTCAAAGGAATTTGACATGAAGGACTTAGGACCAACAAAGAAGATTCTTGGAATGCAAATCACGAGAGATAAGCAAAAAGGAGTTTTGCAGAGAGGAGTACATCAACCGTGTTTTGCAAAGATTTAACATGGACAAGGTCAAACCAGTCAATACACCTTTGGCCAGTCATTTTCGTCTATCCAAGGATCAGTCTCCTCAAACAAAGGAAGAAGAAGAAATTATGGCTAAGGTTCTGTATGCTTCAGCCATTGGAAGTCTGATGTACGCAATGGTCTGTACAATGCCAGACATTGGCCATGCAGTAGGAGTTGTGAGCAGGTTTATGGCAAATCCAGGAAAGGCTCACTGGGAAGTCGTCAAGTGGATTCTAAGATATCTATGAGGAACAACAAAAAAATGTCTGTGTTTTGGAAAAGGAAATATAAGATTACAGGGCTACGTAGATGCAGACTTTGGAGGTGAAGTTGATCACCGAAGAAGCACCACCGGTTATGTTTTCACGGTTGGTACTACAGCT